CAAGCTAAATACTGGGTATCATTGTTTAGAGCGTCCTGCATCGTCTTACAGGTTAAACATACCTTTGACATATTCGACAATAGGTTTTATGTAAATCAACCCCATCTCAAAGAGAGAGAGAGAGAGAGAGAGAGAGAGAGAGAGAGAGAGAGAGAGAGAGAGAGAGATATACATATGTAAATATCTGCATATATATATATATATTCATTTATCTAATGTACATATAAGTTAACTACTTTAAGCCCACACCGGCCCTCCTCTCTCCTCCTCCAGCAACTCAGTGGTGGAGAAATCGCAGGACACCTGGGAGAAGTAGTGGTTTAGGGGTGAGATTCAGGGTTTAGTAACAAACTACAAGAAGAGAAGCACAGCCTCACCTGCCTGAAACAAAGTTGCCCGAGACCCCGGTCCTAACCCCACTGAAGCTTAGACCCGCCCGAGCCCCCCAGACAAGTCCCTGAAACCTCCGGCTCAACAAGAGAGCGCCTTTTGCTCTGAACCCAACAGCCTCGGTTTGTGCGTGTCATCCTTGTGAAGCTCGCTGCTTCTGACTGGCTTCTGCCGATCATGGCAGACGGGGCTTTGGTTCGGCTGGCTTCTGCCGATCATGGCAGTTTTGGTTTCACATTTAGGGTAGGGCGGTAGGGCTAGGGTTCAGAGTTTAGGGCAGGGGTTAGGGTTAAGAGTAGGGGTTAGGATTTTGGTGTTTGGGTTTTGCGGAACGGGATGCTTTTAGGGCTGTACAAGTTGTTTAGGGTGTAGGGCATCGGATGCTTTCAGCGCTGTTCAGTTTGTTTAGGGCGCACTGCCTGTAGAATCAAATCTAGTGTTTAAGGTTTGGGGACCGCGGCCTGTGGGTTGTGGTGTAATGTTGAGAACAAAGTTACAGTAAGAGGGCCATTCCCATCGTTCGGAATGCAGGGTTTAGAGTTTGAACCGAGTGGCAACAGAGCAGCCTCCCCCCGAAGGAGAAGCGTCTGTGCAACTGATCTCTCCGGATACCTCAGACGCCAGGTCCGTCTCCGCCAAGGGGAGGAGCCCGGTGAAGACCACCACCTCATCTACCACGGAACTGGGCAGCGACACGTGTGTTCCGGAGTGGTTCGTCTCAAGGACACCGTAGACCTCCTGCAGAACTGAGTACAACGGCCGCCGAAAAGCGGCAGCAAAGGCTGCCTTACCCGTCCAGTGACGGATGCACGAGTCCGGCATGGTCCCATTTGTGAGGAGGCCCAAGCCGATGCCGGTGAGCTCCACGGTTTTCTCATAGGCATGCCTCAGGATTCTCTGATCCCCGAGGACCTCTCCTCCTTGGAGGGTGCCTGTCAGGGCTCCGCAGAGCTGCTTGCTCTCATTCCTCGGGAGCCCCAACGTGTTGCATGCATCTATGAACTTGAGGTGATTCGGCGAGGGGGCCCCTTCCTCACTCTCAGCAATCTCTTTCTTGAGATGGCGAATCTCATCGAAATTGTCCAAGTAGAGAATGGTAGTGGAGCTCGTGCTCGGAAGAGGCTGGTCCATTGAAACATCCCCGTGGGGAGGGACCTTCGCTATGGTATAGGCGATGTGCCGTATGGCAGCTTGGACCAGGGTGACCGCTGAGGTCCATGCCATGGGTATCACCCGAAGGGCCGGTCGCAGCATGGTGTTGGCCGATCCTCCCAGGGCGTCGCCTTTCACCTTTTTAGCGAAACTGAACAGAGGGGCCCACTCAAGGGGCATCCTGAAGAGGTTGAAGGCGCTCTGCAAATCCTCCGAGTCCAGGACCAGATAAGAGTCGCGCTCCGCCATTATCGCGGTGAGCTGCCCAATGTAGGGCAGCTTGTCTTGTGCTCCCGGAAACAAACGCATTGCATCATTGGTGGGGCACAAGATGGATATAAAGCGCTGCGCCTCTATGGTGCGCCCCTCTTCCTTCTTTACCTTCGCCACCGCGCCGGCTCCATTGGTGATCAAATGGCCGCGCTTGTCCAGGGGGACATCCTCGTCCTTTACCGCCACGAACATACCTCGGTCGTAACCGGCTCTGACGATTCTGTGCCACTCCGCGTCGGACGCTCTAACCTTGGAACCCCTGTGCCGGTCAGGAAGTTCTGACTCAGGTAAGAGGAAGTCCCTTGGCCGGTCCAGGGCTTCCTTGAGGTGATCGGGCAGGCAGTCACGAAGGTCAACCACAGCAGCGGAGCCCGGCCTCGGCCAGGCCATCATCACCTTCTCTGCGACCAAGTCCTTCATATGGTCGACCGGGTTCCCACTGTATAGTCAAACTTCTTCGAAAGGAGCTTTGCTGCCGCCGCCTTCGAAGAAAGCAGCTTGTCGCCTCTGGCCAGCAGTCGGCCCACCTGCGCAGCAATGCGCGTGACCGCTCCCTTCTGGTTCGCCTGAGATCCCTCGACATAGGAACGCAGATCGGCTTTGACCAGCCCGAACAGTAGAGATAGTCCAGACACACCAAAATAAATCGGACCCAGTGGAGGTTGTCAGTGGAGATTCCCTCCAAGCCAACGGCTATCAAGCCCGGATGGATCGGGAGCAGATCTCCAACCCCGCGACGGCCTCGGCTTGAGGTGGGCTCGTCGCCCGGGGGCAGCTCCTCCGGATTCGCAAAGTCGCGTGCGAAGCTGCCAAGAGCCGTCTTGAGGTCAAGGACGGAGTCCATAAGGAGTTTCCCCACCGACTTCATCCTGGGCTCGCGGTCCAGAGCCCTTTTCAGCTTTGACCTCCACTCCTCCATCCCCGTGGGGAGACCTAGAGCATCTCCGCTAAGGGAACCGGCTGGTCGGCCACAGAGCTCGCATGTTCCTGGCCGTGGCCGGAGGTTCAGGATCTACTCGGCCGGGGCCGTCTCCCGGCCTTTTCCTCCTTTCCCTTTCTTTTGGTCCTTCCCTCCTTTCGGATCCCCTTTTTGGTTGCGTCTTGCCGTCCCCTTTCGGCTCCGTCTTGCCGCCCCCTTTTCCCTGAAACCACACATTCCGCAACTCCCCTGCCCACTCCTTCGACGCCATCACCGCCTCGTCCCTGCCCAACAGGCTGGGACCTTCCGCGTCGAGGAGCTCCAGGTACTGCGCCCTGTTCCACGTCCCGTCGTTGTGGAACAGCTCGAGAGCCTTCAGTCGTTGGCTCAGGACGTCGGCCGCATACTGGAAGCGTCCTGCTGCGATCTCGTCCAGAGCCGTCACCAATGTCCTCATCTCCCGTAGGAGGCGCACTGGCACTTGCTTGGGCGACATGACGGTCAAGGTCCAGTTGGTCGCCACTGGCGGTGTTCGCGAGCCCTTCTTCAGAGTTGTCAACGGCCCCCCCATGAGCTGCATCTTCTGCAACAGTCTGGAAGCCAGACGCCCGGGCTTCTTCTGGGCGTACTCCTGCAACTGCAGTTGCAGGCTGGTTCCTCCGGAGTGGGGGCCCTCGCGAAAAAGCTGGCTCTCACCTGAAGATTCCTCGCTTCCCACGTCTGCCAGGCCGTAGTCCAACTTGGGTCCTGCACCGAACGGCCCACGGTCCTTCGCCTTTTTGCTCTTCTTTTTCTTCTTCTTCTCTGAAGACGAACTAGGCGAAGTAGATCCCGAGCTGCTCTTCACGAGCTCAGGTCCCTTTGGGTTTTGGCCAAACCAGCCAGCCTCGGCCTGCTGGGCCGGTGCACTGCTCGCTCGCCCGTGGGCGGATCCTCCGTCTTCCTTTCTCCTCTTCTTCTTTTTCTTTCCAGAGGACTTCGCACGTCTCTCCTCCTTCTTTTCCTTTCGGCCCTTTTCCTCCCTCGTGAGGGGGTCCTTCTTGCTGGGCGAGCCCTGTCGCTTTCTCGGCGGTCTGCCTCGACCGATCTCTTTCTCTAGGTCTGCAAGCCCCTTAAGGGCCGGGTCACCTTCACTCGGCTCAGCGGCCGGCAAGGCACCAACATCGAAACCTAGGCCACCTGCCCCTTGGGGCGCTCCAGGGTCTGCCTTCCCCGTGGGGAGGTTGGCTAATCGCTTTAGCTCCTCTTCCACGTACTTCTTGGCTCTTCCAGATTTTAGCCAATCTACCTTCTTCTCGCTGAGGTCGCTGACAGTGAGGATCCTGAAGCGGTCGGTGTGGAAATCTTTGCCACGACCTCGGTGGGTTTGCCGGCAGGACCTCTGAGAGGTGGCACAGAAGTGGGCTTCAAAAGCCCACTGCTCATCTTTTCCTTCACCATGGGTCATCCACCATTCCAGGTGGTCGTCACTCACTGCAAGGATGGATATCTCCGACCACTGCCCTTGCTTGGTCTTCTCGGCCAAGTGGTCGATCCTTGCGAGGACGGTTCCCTGCCGGCAGTGCGATGTGTCAGACGCCGCAAACTCGACGTAATCCCCTTCATGAAGGGTAGTCCCAAGCCAGCCTTCTGGGTCGGATGACGCCGACGCCCAGGGGCCGGGCATTGCGGGCTCGGGCTGGAAAGCTCGAGCCCAAAAGCTTCAACCCAAAAAGTGCGAATGTGAAAAGCACGTGCTACGCTACTCTCCGATGCGCTAGGCACTGGGGGTAATATGTACGTGTTTATGTAAGGAAACAGACATGCAAGTAGATACATGTATATATATACACATACATACGTACGTACTTACATACATACATACATACAGACATACAGTATACAGACTCTAAATCGTAGAGATAGACAGATAGATAGATAGATACGTAGAAAGATAGATGGATAGGCCGACAGGTAGAGAGATAGATAGTTATGTAACCATTTACTGTTTTATGTATGTGTTGACCTAAGCTTGACTAGCACCTCATTTGATCCTACTGTCATCCTTTTGAACATGGTCATGCACCTTAACTTCTCTCTTGCGGTAGTACAACTGCTACAGTGATTGTACCTGCTACTTGCTAGTACCTCCTTCGCGAACACTGTTCTAGCTAGTTTGGCTGACTGGGTGACCAACGCTATCGGATATCACTGTCTATGCTTCTCTTCTTATTGCTCTGACCATGATCGTCAATGATGCTACTTGGCCGATACATGGGCTCGGCTCCTGAAGTGGCGTTCGCTCGGCAAGGACCAGCAGCTGCCGGCGCGTGAGCTGCGCCTCACCTTCGAAAGGGTTAGAAGAAGTTGAAAGTTTAGGGCTTGGGCTCGAGCCTAACGAGACCAAACTGCTGCGAAGTTTCGGAGCAGGACAAGCAGTTGCCGTGACAGCCGTAACTCTGCACGCCACTTTACTCCAAGCAGCCCATGATCGTAAGCAGCTGCTTGTCTTTGTTGTTGAGGGTCTTGGCACATGCGCTGAGCTTAGGACTCGGAATATCAGGAAAGCTTCGTGTTGACGTCCCGACCACCCTTCTTTCCAGCTACAAACACCACAGGCTGAAGTGGCTTCTGTTGGGGTCTTCAGTTAAGCAGATGCTACAACCTTGAGGGTTGGGCAATGGACACTCAACATCGCCGGAAAGACAGATGCAGCCTCATCGTCAAGCTGCCTGATTAACAACCCTGATGACGGATGGAGGGATGAAGACGACGGTAGCCAATGATTATGGTACCTCGGAAGATGACAAAGAGGAAGCTGATGATTTCGACGAGTGTGTTGGCGATGGTGATGATGATGATGCTGCTGCTGCAACTGATCATGATACCGATGGTAAAGAAAATGATGCGTCTCAGAGGATGGTGATAGCAGGGGTTTTGGTGACGGTGCGAGTAGCACCAATATTCGTGGTGATGCAAAAGGCAGGAATACCAGAACAGGCAGAAGAATCCTGAAAAAGAATGGGAACATCAATCCTGATACGAAGTGAGGCACGTCGGTGGCGCTGTCACAGGAGCTCGAACTTGAGCTCGAGGACCCCGAGGAGCCTCCGGTCGTTCACTTAAAGACATATGGCTGCGGGAGAACACTAAGGCCCAAAATCGTGGCGAGGGCCTAACCCACCGTCCCTCGGGCCCCAAAGAGGATGCAAACTGCGTGTTAGCATTCAGTTCGTGCGGCGTGACACCAGGTCCGGTGGAAAGCCCTCCGCGGACTAATCACACGTCCGTTCTACTACCCGTTTTTGGCGGCCGAGGCTGATGATGTCACTGGTTTCCTCTTCATCCTTCCTAGCATTCCGCGTCGTCCAAGGTCCAACCAAGCAGCTCCGGGAGCTCTTCCGAGAAGGGCTTCTTCTGGCACTGCGGGAGCGGCTGGCAGTCTCACGCACCTGAAGCTTGAGTACTCGAGCCCCTGGCTTGAACACTGCGTCACCCTTTCCCTCAGATCTTCCGAAATCACGCTCGAGACTTTGCCAAAGCCACCGTATGGACTCTTGGCGGAAGCCCCATGGCTGCTTTCAGTGACAGCAGTCCGACATTTCGGAATTTTGTGTTTCGAAAGGAACGCAAGAATATACAATTACAAGGCTGGAGGGCTGTAGGACTGCAGGATCACTTCGTCTTTCAATCTGCGCCTTGGGCAATTTGCTGCGGAGCACAACAACCATCATGGCAGGCAGTGCCAGGCTCGTAAGAACTCTGGGAACTTAGTCGAAGGTGCTCCATCGTCTTAGCTACGAACGTGCAAGGTCAAACCAGTGGCGCAAATCACAAAGCTTCCGAAGCTCGACCACGCAAACGGCTTGCAATCAGAACCAGCCCGTGCGAGAAAAAAACAAATCCAACCAGAAGCCCTCAAGCAACACGGTAAGCCACAACGACACGGAACAGGCGACTCAATCAGTGACACAAAGAGAAGGCCGGACAGGAACCCATACCCCGAGCTTCAGTGACGCCTTCCGCCGCTTTGGGCGGTGCCGCAGCCGAAACGTCCGGGCCTCTGCGTGCCGGGGTTTGGACCCCCTCTTCGATTGAACCTTCGGAAGCTTCTAAAAGCATAGAGCTCGGCTGACGAGACTTCAGGCCCCATGCTAGTTTGCAGTTAAACGCTTGGGGTTTCCCGCTTGGGCAGACAAAGATCACTTTCTCAACCTACCCTGGGAGCCAGCTGCTTGCCCAACATGCAGCGATCGATCGCACACAGCAGCTTTTCACTCCGGTCCGTCGGCGAGCTTCGAGATGGGTGACCCACTGCACCATTGTCCGGCGTGCCAAGCCCACTGCTGACATTCGTCAGCCATGTTCTGTCTCCCAATGATTTCGAATGCGGTGGCATCGTCAGCCGCAGGAAGAAGGCAAGAATAAAATCAAGTCTCCGCCGCGAAACTATCCCATCGTTGTAAGCGTTTGTATTCTCCTCGTAGAACCCTTGGCACACCACGGGGTTGCTCCGCCAAGTGGCAACTGCGTCTGCATTGGCACGCAATTCGTAAGCTAGGAGCCACTCGGCTTCACACTCCAACACGATCCAGCTAGTGATCCAGCTTGCTCGACCTGATTGCAGGCTCCAGCTGCACGTTCCCCGTGTTGTCGCGGAGCCCCACCCCCCTCTGTTACAAACCTTTGTCGCGCCGGCTTTGTTACAAACCTTTCTCGCGGGGCAATACTATATGAGGGACCTTGTCGCGCCAGCGTTGTCGCAAAAAGACCATCTTTGTTACAAACTTTGTCGCGCCAGGGGCGCCCCGGCCCTATTACAAACCAGCAAGTTTCGTCCCGCCTTATGGCCATTGTATGCAGCATGAGGACCTTTCGTCTGGAGTTTCATCAGCTCCATGTCCACGTCTTGATGTGCAAGGAGCAGGCCAGTCGTTTTTGCGTTCCCCGGAGTGTGCGGCTAAAGCGGTTTTCTTAGGGGAGGTTCCTGCCAAAACACAGAAAGGATGTGCCGGAACCCCTCGAGAGAGTGCCGTAGCCCATCGCCTCACAGTCATATGCTGTAGCGCCCAGCACGTTGGACCCAAAGGACCTGGGCCCTGGCCCTGAGAAGTCCGAGGTTCCTCGCGAAATCTGGCTCAACTGGCGTGGCCGACCTCCTCAGGTGCTGCTGGACGGCAACAGCGACTGGTAGTAGCTGTGCCTCTCGTCTGCGGCAACTTCGATACCTCTGTACCAGTAAAGCAGCACCGCCGCACGCACCAAAAGATGCAGCATGAATGCACCCCATAAGAGATCGTTGGAAAGGTTCGACTCTGCGTGGCTCACCAACCAGAAGACAAGCAGAGCCAGGAACGTGGCATCCCGCATCTTGCTCGGCTGCGTCGCTCCGACGAAGAGGCCGTCCATGAGATAGGCCGTGAAGGACAGAAGCGGGGCGCACCATTGCCATGGGAGGTAGGCCTCTGCATAGGCAACGATCTCCGGATGAGAGGTCAAAGTGAGAAGGATCTGCCGGCCGCAAGTGATGTAGAGGGCTGTGAAGGCAAGACCAAGCAGCAAACCCCAGCACATAAGTGCCCCAAAGACCTGGCGCACCCGGTGACTGTCTCCCAGTCCTATGGCCTGACCAACCATCGCTTCACCGGCATTAGCAAAGCCATCGGCCCCAAAGGAGATCAGCATCTGCAGCTGCATCAGCAAGTTGTTCCCGGCCAAAGCGGCGCTCCCCAGCTTACCGCTCAGGGACGTAAAGTCCGTGACCTTGGAGCGGCACCCCAACACCGTACGCCCTAGACCACGTCAGAGAGAGGAGGAGGGAGGCTCCTCTGAGATCTGAGGCAAGGGGCGATGACCATCATGCACACGGAACGGACCAGGATGTTGACGTTGAGCGTTGCGAGCTTTGCCAACTTCCGTGGGCTAAATACAGCAGAGGCATCGAGCTGAATGTGCCGAGACCCTTCAGCGAGCCAGGGAAGCCGTCTCAGGTTCCGCCAGATTTGGTGGCAGCCGAAGGCTAGGGCAACGTAGTTGGAGATCACAGTGGCCGCTGCCACGCCCTGCCCACCAGCTCGACACGAAACAACTTGCTGTGAGCCCCAAAGCCTAGAATACATGCTTTTAAAAGCGTCCTAAGAGCTCTTGAAGGTGAAACAAGTCCACACTCGTGGGCCTCAATGCCATAGTCCAGAAGGCATCCCAGCAGTATGCAGAGGAAGGCATTGCAGAGGTTGAGGACAAGGTTGGTAGCCAGAGCTACATCTGTCCTGCACCGGTACCCCCCTCTAACCTGAGAGCCTGGCCTCAAGGAGCAGTTTTCCGAGCATGCCTTTGAATGGTCGCTGGGTTGCTTGGGCTTCGAGGCCGTTAAGTGGATTGTCGCGCTGTTGCGAATGCATAGACTCGAGCAGCGTTCAAGAATTCCCGTTTCCCTGAGCGTTGCAGGCACGTCTCCTCTGGATGTTGATGAGCCAAGCCTGGACCACGAAGTTGGACAAAGCTGCCGGCGTACCGAAAACCTCTGCAAATCGTGACGGTGCAAGCCCGCAGCGAAGCCCTGCAAAGGTGCCTCTGCCTCCCGGCCTCCCCTCAATGAAGGCATGGCACACGGGTCTGGAAGTAGGCCAGGGCGCGATCGAGTGTTGCCTGCGCGTGGATTTTGGCACTTGCACTTCCGCTGCCATGCGCAATGGGGCGGGGCGGCCGGGCCGCTGCCTCGTCGGGCACATGCAGGAAGCCGAACAGCAGCTGCGCCAGCGGCCCGCGGAGGAGGCAGAGCAGGCTTCCGAGGACTTCGGCGAGCATTGGGGGGCTCTTCAGGTTGGCGGGTACCGCCAGGCTTGCACTGTTCCATGTTTAACTGTCTACTGTCGTCTAGTAGAAATAGGCCCATGGATCAAAAGCCGCTGCAGCTAGGTTCCTGCGCGTAGAATGACCATAAGCGCAGCATGGCGAACTCGACAGGATCATGACTACCAGAAACCCCAACACTCGTCTTAATAACACAACAACACTTAACGGACCGCAGCTAATATCCCCGGATGTCCAAAGGATCCCCGTTGCATCCGTGGTGCCACAGCCCACCACAAGGCCCCGCAAAGCGCCGGCCGCGAGCTCCTGGCCGTCCTTGGCGCCGTAGGCCTGAGCTTGACAAAAGCAAAGAACGGCAAAGCTCCAGGCCTAGGCTATTCTGGGCACCCTTTAACTTCATAGTCTGGCCTGGGCAGTGACACCGCCGAAGCCCATGCGAAGGAAGTTGAAGACCTGCGGTGTTCACGAAGCAGTTCAACATAACTTGCGGCAAGCGATAAGATGCACCGTGACTTGTACTGCAAACTGCATGCGGATATTCAAGAATTTCTACATCCACGACAACTTTCAGGATGCAGCTGTCTGAGTCTCTGTCTCGTGGAGTTGCTCTAGCTGCTGCCAGCTTAACGTGCCGTTTTCGACAGTAAGACCACTTCACCGACAGATTGTCGTTGCTGCTCATCGCTGCTGCTGCTGTCGTCGTCGTCATGGTCGCTGCAGTTTCCAAGGTCCTTGTCCATGTTGCTGCCGTGGATAGTTAGACTGCGACCTATGAGTGTTTCAACCGCGAGTCTTGCCTTCGCCACTGTTCAGCAATCTCAACATATCCTTGCCATGATCATTTAAATTCAAGTTGCTTTTTCTAGTACAGAATCCGATGCTAAGCCGCTACAGCTTGGTCACACCCCGACCCAACAGAACATTTCCGAATTCAGCCTCCCTCCTCAAAAGCTCCCAAAGCTTGAAGCAGTTACTCAAGATTCTAGGCATGCACACCTGCAACCGTCATTCTAGGATCCCGGCTAGCAGGAGCGGATTGTAAGCCGCCAGTGCAAGTGCAAGGGAGGCGACGTCGTGTGCCTCGTTGAAGTGGCCGACAACCTCCGGCTGCACGGCTTAAATCATTAGCATCTACTACAAAAAACAAATGTAATGATCCAGTGCAATGTCCTTTTGTTTGCAGTGGTGGCAGTGGCAAAGTGGCAGCCTCCTCCTCCTGCTGCTACAGCCTTTGGCACTTAGCACGGAGCGCTTACCACACAGCCCTCTGCACATCTCAGTTAGCAGTTAGCACTAGCTCTAAGTGGCACGAGCTCCACCAGCTCCACCAGCACCACCAGCACCACAAGCACCATCAAACTGCACCAACGGCACCATCGCTAGCACTAGCACAAGCCGTAGCAGCAGCATGAGCACAAGCACAAGCACTGATACTGGCACTGGCACTGGCTGGCACTGCCACCACTGCGACACTGAGCTGATGGTGCTGGTGATGGTGCTGATGGTGGCGGTGACGGCGGTGACGGTGGTCATGGCACGGTGATGGCGGTGATGGCGGTGATGGCGGTGATGGCGGTGATGGTGATGATGGTGATGATGGTGGTGATGGTGGTAATGGTGATGATGGTGATGATGGTGGTGGTGGTGCTGGTGGTGCTGGTGGTGCTGGTGGTGCTGGTGGTGCTGGTGGTGCTGGTGGTGCTGGTGGTGCTGCAACAGCAGCAATTTACGCAATAGTTAAGCAGTTCGACATAATTTCTCATTACGGTGACGGCCACTACAGTATAAGTTTGCTCTGCATTCTTTGGGAAAGAGAATGTGAAAGTAAGATAGAGATAGGTAGAAAGAGCGAGATCTCGTGGCTGAGGGCGGAGATTTAGCACAGGTGCAAAAGAGTTATGGACCATATTTGCTGTACGTCCTCTTTCCTATGAAGACGAACTCTGGCAGAGTCACCATGGTGTCCACCAGACCCAGAAAAGGTGTCGAGAGCTCAGAGAGGATGCTGGGCCATGCGAGGGCAAAGATGCGACCTGGGCAAACACAGGACTTTAGCTTCGACGCGGGAGTCCCACCTTCCTTTGAGGCCTACATGCACAACCCCAAAGACATGCCTGCGGCCTGCGGGAAAAACAAGTTCTGCCGGAGGGCGGAAGGCCTCCTCGAAGGATGGGCTCTCCTTCTGCATTGCCATGGCTGCCATGACCATGGCGCTTTCAGGCTGGTAAGCTCCCCAGCTTGAAGCAGAGAACGCTGCCGAAAACTAAAAGTGAAAGAGCCTTCAGAACGCGCACTCCATACCGTGCAAGCATAGCTGAGCAGAGACCCCGCGGAAGGCATCGGAGCCATAAACACTTGCACCTGTCGGCATCCAAGCGCATCTTATAGCTAGCCCGCAGCAGAGCATCGTTCGCAAACATCGCAAAAGCAACACCTCAAGCCCCGTTACCTCAAGACGGTTGACGGAAAGCCGCGCGAACCTGGAATCCCAACACGAAGCAAGGCCCGGACGCAGGAACTGGCCCTGGGGCAGTGGTGACAGCGGCAGCGTCAGGCCGATGTCCGTCTGGGGTAAAATCGTTGCCGTGGCTCTGCACAACCCGACTGCAATGGCTGCAAAGCGAGCATTCCGCAATTAGGTTGCTATCATTCTGCCTGCGGCAATGCTATGATCGTGTTGGTGCCCATGCTCGAACTGCAATGCTGATCGTACTGTTCCATCATCTGCGTTTTGAAGCCGATGTAGCTTTGCAACTCTCCGACCCCACATCATAGAGTTAGATAGTGGTGATGTAGCGCTGCTTCAGTACCGGGTTCGTGAGACTGATGACATGAGTCTCTCCTTGAAAATCCTCGTTCAATCCGGGCCCCAGCCTGCATCATGGACATTTCAAAGGCACAAAAACCCCTAGAGCCCGGCAACTAGCCATAAAGGAAAAAAGCCAAAGCCGAAACTGCACCGGATCTCACTCCCGCCTGCGGTGCAAAGAGCATGGCAGGTAAGGGACCGCTTCTCTTGCAATTGCTTGTGACAAGTGACTCACGTTCTTTCACGACTTCGCTTGAGCTATAGCTTTGGGGCTGGCTCAGAGAGTGTGACGTTCTTGGTTTTTGCAGCCATTTGCAGCTTCAAGTCCTCGGGGCATGAGTTTCTACTCGGCCTTGCACGGACATGCCGCTTGATTGCTCTTGGTCCGGTGAAGCATTCATTCAAACAAACACAAAGCATCCAAGCTGGTCTCAGCATTCGCTCACCCACCCCGCATCAGTACATTGAGGTGCTTCGGAAGTCTGCAATCTGACTCTTAACTCGGCCTCAAGCAGATTGACGTGCTTCTCTTGCCGGAGCTTCTCCTAAGCACCGCGTTGCAAATTTTGTGTAAGCTCCAGGTCGCAGATGCGCAGATGCAGAGAGTCTCACATGTGAGGATTTTTTGGTGGAGGCGACTTCCGACTTCGAAACAAGGCCATCATTACATCGGGCAGTACAGCAACTTTTCTTGAAACTCCAGAGGTCCAGAAGTTTGCCCAAAGACCACTTTGCTGGGTCTTCTCCACTCGGCACAAAGCATGCTTGTTGTTGGCGCGTGGCGGAATGATTGTCCAGGTAGCGGTTGTTGATGATGTCGAAGTCCTGCAGGGCGTGCATGAGAAGTGGGCATGCCAAGCTCTTCGTGCCCAGACGTCTTCCAAACCAGCCAGCTGCGACTCCACATCAGCCGGCCTTGCAAAGAAATGCCGGCACCTGCCAAGAGGGTCTGCAGGACATTGCCGACAGCATGAAAGACTCTGAAAGACTCCATGGAAAGGACACTACCTCACGAAGTCTCAGGACTGAAACGTCAAGGGCTTCTCAGTCGAACCATCTCGCATCTTTGGCTGGTGGCGACACAGCTCAAACGCAGCAGTCAAACATCGACCGACCATATCCGATGAAAACCTGACCAACGTGTTCATAAATACGACTGACCAGGCTTGCTACTGTACGGCAAAGCTGCACCATTCCAAGCCTTCCGCACCCTTGGGGACTTCTCCTTCAACCGAGGCCGCTCATCGTGCCTGGAAATACCAAAGATATACTTTTGCTTCTCGTGTGCTTGCACCAGAAACGAGGCTCCGGCTTGGCCCAGTGGTGCTCTTGAAAGGGCATGTTGGAGAGGATGTTGTAGTCCACGGCGGTCTGAGGGAAGTGACCCCTGTCAAGCCCGGTGTTCAAACACAAGCGGCTCGTCCTGGATAATCACGGGGGCGCTCCATGTTCTTGCTCTATTCTGAATTTGTTCGGCTCATTCCTCCCCTTACCTTTCCAGCCCTCCACATGGGCTACTTCCATGAACTCCCCAGCCCAGTCAGGTACGCCATCCAACTCTCTCCGCCATGTCAACATTGAGAAGCCGGTACTGATTGCGTTTAATCCGTCACTGTGCTGATGCACACGAAACATCTGATCAGCCAGAAACCTGGCACTTGGGCTCACAAGCCGGAGTTGCAGAGCAAACAAGCGTGTCTGGACTGAGACTAGTCGCAAATCATCCCATGTGACGACTAGCCCCACAGCGTTGCGAAGAACACGAGCTCACTCGAAACATCATCTCCCTCCTCCCTGCAAGATGCTTACACGGAACATCGACGAATACACATGCTATCGTGACTGAGAAATCCTACAGGAACATGTCTAGTCACACGAAAGGTTTGGATCCGTTGGGCACGGAACGATGAGATCTCCATCGAATCCCTCAAGATCTCAGTCTGCCTCGAAATACATAGCACAACATCACTCTGCCACAGAGCTCCAGATGCCAGAAGCTTCCCTCGCCGCTGCCTGCCGTCCTTCGTGCGCTCCTTGGTGCCTATCGTGCCGTGGCCACCAAGCCTCGCTGGGTCTTTGCCTCCGGGAAAGCAAGGCAAGGACAAGTGGCGGCTTTCCTCACGAATCCTCACGAGGCCAGCGGGTCAATACGATCATCGGTGTCCCAAGCATCATCAGGACGGATGTTGTTGCAGACAGTCTCGTCCGAAGCAGTCGTCGTCGTCGTTGCAACTGCCGCGGCGCTAGTAGCAGACACGACAGTGGTCGTGGTCGTCATCGTCGTCGTCGTAGCAGCGGCCGCTGTCGAAGTAGTTGCAGCGGCAGCAGCAGGGGCAGCCGGAGTGGTAGAAGTAGTGGTAGTGGTAGAAGTAGTGGTAGTGGTAGTGGTAGTGGTAGTGGTAGTGGTAGTGGTAGTGGTAGTGGTAGTGGTAGTGGTAGTGGCAGTGGCAGTGGCAGTGGCAGTGGCAGTGGCAGTGGCAGTGGCAGTGGCAGTGGCAGTGGCAGTGGCAGTGGCAGTGGCAGTGGCAGTGGTGGTAGTAGTAGTAGAAGAAGAAGATGCGGTAGTAGCAGTAGTGGTAGTAGTAGTAGTAGTAGTAGTAGTGGTGGCAATCATTACCATCATGCAAGTCTCCCAGCAACATCCCCGGCCTGGAGCCAGCTTTTCTAACTTTGACTCCTGGAGTTGGACTTTGGCGGGTAGTGTCGATTCGGGACATGATCTAAGGCTGCTCAGCCTCTGCATAGCTGAGACAAGCCCCCTCAACTGGACTACCTGTATACACCTTTCATGCCTTGAGGAAATCCCTGCTCAATCGTTCGAGAAGCGCAGCACTGAGCACACGCAGGTCCAGACTTACGGATGCATCCTGACACTTCCCCCAAACTCCTTCGACAATGCCCTGGCTTCGGCCTGGCACTCTCTACAAACCGAACATCTGCCCGAGTCCCTGGCCTGGTTGAGGATGTCAAAAGGCTGCTCTCGCAAGATCTGGATGTCCTGGCCAGGCAAAGAAGCGACGACAAGGCAAAACACCAGAGACCAGCCAGCTCCCGAAAAGACCAGTCAGGTGGTGCGGCACCCTGAGACAGCTTCTTGCGCGGCCTTTGCGCGATTCAGGTGCGCCACCCGCTCACGCTCTTCCATATGCCGCTGGCTTGCCTGGCGTTCCCGAACTCTTGCACACAAGGTGCTCATACTCACGTATATACTTTATACCTCCAGCATTCAATCGCAAACAGCGCCGACGAGCAAGACACAAGGCAGTTTTCTTCTGCTCCCTGGCACTGACCCCAATGGTCTGCACCTTTGGACACTGCCATGCTTCGACCCTCCGCAGGAACCCACGTAATCCGAAGCCACCCTGTCTACTTGCCCTGTCCTCCGTGCTGTTGTCCCGGTATCTGACAGCAGGGCTTCTAAGCATTCATGGCAGCTTCCCCAGCTTCCCTCCTTCGTTTTCGGTTTCAGGTCCCAGGAAAAAGACTCCGAAGAACCACCGCCCCAGCCTGCCGAGCAGTGGATCGAACATCCGCTCCTGAGGTGTAGACAAGATGACAGGACGGGAGAGACTCGCCTGCATGGAGGGCCCGTTTCGGGCATTCCGGCATTCCCCTGTTCGAGGATCCAAAACTCGCCTCACATCGCACATGCTCAGCCTGCCTGTGCTTGGAACATCCCGGGCTGAAGCCGAAGTGGCCTTGGCACTGGCACTGGCATTGCAAGGGCTGCGCTCTGTCGGACCAAAGGCAACGGGATAACGTTGTTAGATTCGCGGTTTGACAGGAGCAAGACCGAAGGTTTGGTTCCTGGAACTACTCCTTCCAGACATCATGCATCCAACACCCAGCATCTTCTGCATCTCGGCATCCGGCGGTCCGCTAACCAACCCTGAGTCCACTGCCTCAGTGGTGAGGCATGCATACTCTACTGCGATGGATTGTGAACCGCTGGGTGTGAATTCGACCCATAACAGGCCTAAGCCTTTGCGTTAAGCCTTGAAACGGTGTTTCTTTTGTGGGCTTCCTTGAACGTTTATATGACAAACTGGACCCCTTGCACAACCAATCTCCTGAGGCTCCTTCGTGTCTCTTCTCCTGCTCATAGGACCGAATCTGGTCACCTTGGACAATGCAGGACCGTCAACGTGGCATTGAATTGCATGCGCTCGCATGACCGCCGAGTTCCTTTCCCTGTGCCTGAACCTGCAAAACAGTTGTCGGCCCAAGGCACCGGAATGGCAGATTCAGTCGCAACCGTTTACGACAACGCTTCGAGCATGGAACGAAACTTGAGACACATGGCACTGCATTCAACCGTGACACAAGATTGAACCGGTTGACTGTCTTTGGACACACGAACCGTACTCTGCCCGAACGCAATCCTAATACGTGGTGAGCCCACTACTGCGTGGCGGTTGCCATGCAGGGAACCCTCGCAAATGAGTCCCAAGCCCCATGTTTGCTGGGGTGCCTCACAAGCCGGCCAGAAACTGGCGCTGCTGCAACTACTGAAGACATGTAAACTCTTCATTTCCTGGCACAGCGACGTCGACGAGCCTTGAAGTCATCCACAGTTCTTGCCATGGAAAAGGCTAGACCTGATTGCAACGAATGCTGCAGGGCACGAGTGAAGCACAGGTCAAACCGCAGCGAGCAAACGTTGCTGTAGCCCCAAATCACATTCCAAGGCCTTCTGAGATGCAGGCATACAGGCTATGCTGCAACATGTTGCATACTTCGAACTACGTCAACTTCCTTGAAAAGCAAGCATGCAGTAACAAACTTCCAAACATGCACCGAGGTGGGACGCTTTCTAAAACAACCCGACGAATCACCGGCAATGCATGTTCATTGCAGAAGACCACTAAACTTCCAATGATTGGTCAATATCCGATGACCAAAGTCAGCGCTTCAACTGCATTTAGTTTTGCAAGATTTTCACCATGGCCTGTAGCGGAAGCTCACTTGCAGCATGCTCACGACCCCATGCATTCTGCACTGTAACGCTTGGCTGGCTGCTTGGATCCATTAGTAGAAGCCAGGAGCCAAGTCTTCAGCGCACAAGCGCAGCGCAGCCCGAGGGCAATTCCAGAACGCAAGTGGTTTGGCCAAGTAAAAGCAGTTGCAAGCAGCACTAGTTCTGTGCCGGGACCTGCAGAGCTACTGCAGTCCTGTCTTGCGTTCGGCGGCCACTTTTCACCTGGTACGAACCAAAGTCACCCTGGGACAAAAAATTCCAATGCGCTGATGCTCCTCATCCTACCTTCTTCCGACCGTTCACCAGCCTCAAACGTGCTATGCCTCGTTGTACCTCTTTCTATTTTCTACTTGAATACCCATACCTTCCAACCCACCTGACACAAACTTTTGACCTTTTCCACGGACTTTGTCAGGTTTAGTCCCACCACGACAGCAAACGGCAATTGAACTCTGCAGTGTGAAATCGTGCAACGGTCCGTTGCAAGCTTTCAGGCTCCGTTCTCATCAACAACACTGGAGCACCTTCCCAAAGGGTCTGCGTATCTTCTTGAGCCATTCGTTTCATTCTTTCTGAAGGATTTCGGTCTTGCTATTATCTTGGTGTGTCTTCAATACACTAGCTCGGCATTGCGAAGTCTCGACCGCTTCTTGTTGGAAACTTCCCGCAAAATAGTGTTGCTGTCTCAACAGCGGCAGTCTATGGCTCTGCAGCTGGCTTCTTCGGCCAAGAACGCACAATCAACACGGAAAAACTGAATCCTACAGTTTACGCATGCAACACTGCTAATTTGCGAATGCATTGCGTCGGAAAGATCGAAGACAATGCCGTCTTGTGGGTGGAATGAAACTTTGAATTGAAAATACACACTTGTTGCCAGATAGAAGACCTCAACAATTGTCAAGATGTTGTTTTCTGTCAAGTTGAACGCGGAAAAAAGAAAACTCTCAGCCTTCAAAGGCGAGTGTCTCTCACGCAACAGGACTGAAACATACTCATCATTTCCAAAACTCAGCAAACCACATGAATCCATTCCCTACCAGCTTGCGTGGTCAATGTCGCAAACAGGACAACTAAGAGGTGCTGAGGTTGTGGGAACACCCGATGTCATGTCAGAGCCTTGTGAAAGAGAAGGCCCCTTCAAGTTCTCGCGACCCGCGGCGAATTTCATACATCCCGGACTCCCAAGCGCAAATTCAGAATTTCTCTCTCAGAAAGCGGCAGCCAAAACAGCTCGTCTTCAGAGTAGCGGCAATCCTGTATCAAGAGATTGCACAACCATGCGCAACAAGCGGCATCACCTGCGGGAAGACCTCGCAAAACACACACCAACGCCCTTTACATGGATTATCACGGCGCGTAAGTAAACTTGATACCACTTGTGTCGCCCAGAACTCTGGGTTTAGGGTCGGTGAAGCCGTGGTGCCACGGGGAGTCGAACTGAGCAACAGATGTGGCCGTTTTCGACCGTTTTGACAGAGAGACGGCCCTTCAGCACAGAAGAAACTTCAAAAACTGACCGAAGTCCGAGGGGACTCCGGGACTTCCGCCTGGCGCCACTGCCGATGGTTGCAAATGACACTTTGGCCGTGGCAAGCGATCGCAATGTGCGCATCCGCAGCGTGACACGCACGGGAAAACAATGCATTCTGGAAGCATCACCTGCATAATGTCCGAAAGAGTTCTTGACCTCTGAAGAGCTATGATGCGCGATGCTAGCTGACGACAACTGACAGCCAATCCAGATGGAGATTTCAAAACTTTGGGAGTAGAGAACAGAAACCTCGAAGCCTAAAGCCCCTCCCCAAAATCCTCCTAAACATTCAACACCCTCTTAAACAATGTCTAGATCGGCCTCCAAGGCTGTGGCCAAGGTGGATTTCGGACCTCGCAACGCAGCGAAGGGAGACTACAATCCGATGTAGAGACCCGGTAGTGTTGGTTGAAAGGTTTGGCGAAGGCTTGAAACGGAAGCGGCTGAAGAAGCTTGGAGACCGGACAGGAGTGGAATTGGCGGAGGTTTTCTCACCCCAAGACAGGATACAGTAGAAGCCAGAAAGTTGAAACATCACATCATTATCCTCATACCCTGAAGGTAAAGTACAAAGAAGCCCCGCACCAATCATGCTAAAACCATGTTCCGCCTTTTTCTGAAAGATTTCTGGGGTGCATGTAGAGCACTGCATTGCAGCTTCTGGGGCCAAGCATTTGCGTCGATTGTTTGGACGTCGGGAAGATGAAGGTCCGGAGGCACCAAACAAGCACTGCTACTTCCAGAAATATGATGGACAGGTCCTTCGTGTCGGGCTTTTTCGGGGCCTTGTAGTCTTTGGGCCACTATTCTTCACGGTTGCAGTTCAAAACGTGGCCGAGCGAACTGGAGCTTCTAACCACACAACGCAAAGCTGAGCAGATTGTATAAGTTACAGCAATACTGTCATGCGACTGGCAGATGTCTGTGCGGAACATCGCTCTGTTCGGATCGTGAGCTCTTGACAACATCTCGAAAACACAGCGGCATCGAGGAATTCCAACATAATACTGCCGTTATTGGGGATTATTACTATTAATATTCGTTTCATTCTTGCTTTTACCATTATCGTTTAGTAGGGGCATAGGGCTTACGATATTTGAGGACGTTGGCTTTGTGCTTCCACTCGTGTTGTCATACACGGATGTGCTCCGCGGTCTCGACGCCCATGTTGGAGTGTCGTAATCTCTTGTTTTTTGACTAATGCTGCCCGAAGACCTAATCGCAAAAGCTGAGAAACACAGTCGTACGGTGCTCATACACATGATAGTAATTCGGCCGGTGCTCATCTTATTCCGACTTGGCCGCCATCATTTTGATTAGGACTTCAGAAGGCACTTGAACTCATCAATGCAATCAAGTCTGAGCCCAGCAGCGGAGCGCACGCTTTGCCGATCCAGCTCATGCCTGAGATTGAGGGTGGTGCAGAGTTTAGCCCGAGTAGGATGCATTTGAGAAACATCTAAAACTGTCCAAACGTTGACAGAAAATGCCCAGATTCTCCTTATCGCCCCTGTGCTGATGAGTATCGACAGACACATACATATATAGATATATATGATGTAGATGTATATGTATATGTACAGAACGCACCCCAGACTCTATATGTACGTATATGTATGTGTATATATATATATATATATATACATATACATATGCATCTGCTGATATATATATATATATATATACACACACACAGCCGAATAGAGTCTGTAGCAGTTGCCAAGGCTGCCTGCATTAACTGCTGCCCAGGCGCAGGCAGCCGATGGGTTCCGACAGCTACGGAGACTGCCCTTGAAAGGCTTTGGGTTGGGGACGTACAGCTCAAGGGTTTTAAGAGTCTTAAGGCATCTTGTTTTAGGGCAAGGACCCGGCTTCAGGCCAGTTTGGCGTTCACCTTCCTTACCCCCCCCATATGAGTGGCAGCTCCACGACCTGGACTGCAAGGACTACACGCCTAATGATGAAGGCAGGCGGCTCTGAGAAAAAAGTGGTCCGCCAATAAGGTTTCCATAACACGG